GACAAATTGGCACGAGCATTCTTCAGAGTGAGTTTTTATGGTCACCTTCCATGACTGTCACTAAACTAGGCACATACACAATGCTCAGTAAATTGTTTTTCATCAGTTACTTTCCAATCCCAGGGAGCAAGGATTTGCATAGCTCCTGTGAAATGGTCAAGTCTGATGCCTACATGTACCCACTGAGAGCCGATCATGTCTAAAGAAACTTAAAATTCCTGCTTTATGTGGGCTGCTGGTCTTGCCCCGCCTTCTCTGAGCTGGCCACATAGGTCTGGGAGCTTCACAAATTATTAAAATTTAAATAATCATCCTTGGGGTGCCTTTGCTATGTAGGGCTAAACACCATCACTCTTGTTGAAATTGAAGTAAGTGGTCTTTATCCAAGATCTTCAAAGAGCTTTGCTAATGAACAGATCGTATCGTCTTGTCTGAAGATGAGAGAAACAAAGCCCACAGTCAGGCCCCACAGGACAAAGGAAGCAACATAAGTATTAGTCTCAGACTTACAGAATCCCAGCCCTTCCTTGTCTTTTCACTTGATGATTGTAGGTTTAGTGTGTGTGTTCCTATGACAGGGGGTGGAAGGAAAGAAGGACAGAGAGGGACTTTTCGTTTTCAATTCTAGAGACAAATTTCACTCTGGCTCACCATCTTGGTGGTTCTCGTGACCTCTAAGAGAGAGACTCCCCGGGGTCACGATACGGGCCAGAAGCAGAAGGAATCACTGTGCCACAGAGTCAGAGCACGGTGGCCCAGCATGAATGGCCCATATGCCAGTGGGTCATTAGCCAAACAGGAGGGAACTTGACTGATGAAAAACTGGCAAAGGGCTAAGGAAGATGGTTGTGCAAGACCACGTCAGTCCCTTCCTGCACCCCAGCCCCTGTTTGCCTGGGGCGTCATCATGCAGCCATTATGAGTTGTGCAATGAGCCCGGGTGCTTACACAGGCACAGGGAGGCCGGATGTGGCATCGGGACCCCTTGGGTGATAGACACACACATGGAGACATATTTGCATAATGTTCTCTCCTTGTTAGAAAAATACGTCTTACTAAAGATTCCCGTGAATGCCGAACAACGCTGAAGCACAGAGGCAACGTTGTGGGGGTCAGATTGTAAGCACCAGTGAGCCCCAATAAATCCTATAGACAGGATATTTGCAGGTGTCTCAGGGTTTCTAAATCACCCTCCATTTCCTCACCAAACTCAGTAAAATAATTGGAAAAGAAGTCATTAGCCCCCTTCTACGGAGGAAAACGAAACGGGAGGAGATCCAGTGATTTCTTCAGTGTCCCGGAGCTGATGGGGGTGGGGAGTTGGAACTAGAACCTGGAACTTTCCAGTGAGAGTAGAAGGGATCTTAAGGAGGGTGGCAAGAACCAAACTCCTCAGTCATTTTGTGGTGAGGAGAGAGGTGGTAGTGGTGGGCGAGCCCTGCAGATTGTTCTGGATGGACCCGGCAATGGATCGTCCTCCCTGAAATCTTATCAGCCTACCATATGGTTGTTAGTCACGTTTTCTGTTATATTGAGCGTATTAATCTCACGCGAAAGCTGGAATTTCTGTCCTTGCCGACGACGGAGGAATGCTTTTCGTTAAGATCCGGGGTTGTGTAAAGACCCCCACCAAGTCCCTTGGAGCACGGGGGTCGTGAAGAGGTCCTCCAGTTCTCGGCACTTTTGGAGAACCTCACACCTGCCGCCCGAGGTTCTCGTGGGGCTATTTACTTGGAACTCTTGGAGACCCACAGATGGAAATCTTTCTGAGAATATTGTTAACCGTGACGCTGCTGATACATGACCCCGGGCCTCTTCCTTGAGCTCCTGAGTCACCTGGGATAAAACAACGCGGAGTGGGAGGAAGCGGGCCATCCTCCCCAACCCTGCTCTGAGCACACACGCGCACACCTGTGGGCGGTCACGTTTCTCGGGGCATTCTTCAAAAGATCAGAGAAAGCCGAACACGTTATTCAGTAGTAGGTGAAGCAGGGGCCCTCCTCCTTTCCCCTGTCGTCCTCTTCTAGGGAAAACCCTGCACCCCAGGAGAGTGTGTGGTTTTCGCCTGCCCTCTCTGTGGTCTCATTCAGTTTATTTTCTCTGCCTGAGCAGAAAGATCGCACCTCTGGAGTGCCAAAGAAAGACCTTCCTCTGCCTTCTCTACCCTTCTTCCCCCTACAGGTACATTTTCATTTAGCGGATGAGTCACATCATGAACTAAAAGCTTGTGTTCACACTTAAAAGGGCTGTTCCTGATGGCTGGTTTTGAGTCGCATGCTAGATAAGCCTCTCCTCGAATGTTAACGATTAGCCCACCATCGACCATTAGCTACAACATGGGTGTAAATGTTTGACAGGAGAGCACACAGACCGTGCGGGGGCCAGCGCCTGTGAGCGTGCAGGAAGTCAGTCGGTGGGAATGGAAAGGAACGTAGCGCATGTGGAAGCGGTCCGCCGTGGAAACCCTGGACAGTGTTTCTGTTAAATCATTTGTACATTGTTAAATGATTTACATTCTGATGGGATCTGGTAATCCCAGAACGGCAATTCCACACATTCCTCTGTATCCCGACCCTGACAGTCTATATCAATTACAGCGGCCGTAAAGCTCTCTCAGCTGGTTAAGCATAAAGAATTATTGTGCCCGATCCTTCCATATGGTCTCCTTGGTTCTCTTAGCCCACACTTGTAAGGTCGTTCGGTGGCAAATATTATTATCCGTCTTTGAAATCACTAAGCCTTTTGAAAGAGCCCAAATGATATCCCTCCCTCGAAAGATACAGGCTTGCTCGAGCACATTGTTTTGAATTCCAGGGTCCAGTTGTGGACCACAAAAGAAACTCATTAGAAAATCCATGAATCAGAGTTCGGTTTATAATTCGAGCGAAAAATAACTCTAGTTTTGGCTAACTTCAGTGATAGATATGGTTCCAAGAATATGTTGGCTGACACCGAGTCCTTACTTTTTTTAGTTGAAATGTAATTGACACATAATATTGTATTAGTTTCACGTGTACAACATAATGGCCCAATATTTGTACATTACCGTCCGTCCACATAGACATTTATTTCCTTGTGTTGAGAAGTTCCAAGATCTGCTTCTCTTAGCAACCTTCAAATATACAGTAACTTTACCTCTTAGCAACCTTCAAATCTACAATGACTATAGTCACAATGCTGTACATTATATCCTCAGGACTTACTTATAAACTGAAAGCTTTTACTTTTTGGCCCCTTTCACCTTTCCCCCCCTCCACCACCGACAACGACCAGTCTGTTCTCTGTATCTACAAATTTGAATTTTCTTTCTTTCTTTTACATTCTGTGTATCAGCACTATCATTCAGTACTTGTCTTTGTCTGACTTACCTCACTTAGCATAATGCCCTCAAGATCTATCTATATTGTGACAAATGGCAAGATTTCATTCTTTTTTATGGCTGAGTAATACTCCATTACACACACACACACACACACCACACTTTTTTTTTCAAAATTTTATTTAAATTCTAGTTAGTAAATAAATAAAATAAATTTCTAGTTAGTTAACATATAGTGTAACACTGGTTTCAAGGGCAGAACTTAGTGATTCATCACTTACGTACAATGCCCAGTGCTTATACAACGTTTTCTTTATCCATTCACCCATTGATGGACACAGGCTGTGTCCATGTTTACACCTGGCTGTTGCAGCGAACAAGGCATGCAGACATCTTTTTGAGTTGGTTTCATTTCCCTTGGACCCATCGCCCGAAGTGGAATTTCTGGATCACATGATCTGCGATAGTTCTATTTTTAAATTTTTGAGGAACCTTCATTCTGTTTTCCACAGTGGCTGTACCAGTTTATGCTCACCCCCCCCCACCCCCAGTGCACGAGGGTTCCCTCTTCTCCACCTGCTCTCCAACACGTGCTATTTCTTGTCTTTTTAATGGTAGCCATTCTGACAAGCACCAGCTGATACCTCCTGAGTCCCTGTGGACTCGGGGGCACTCACGCACTCAGGGAGGTCCCTTGCCGGACAAGAGGTTGGGGGATTGTTTCTGGTCTCCTCACGGCCATTAAGGCCTTGTGACTTGGGGAGAGTCCCTTGACATTTCTGGATTTCTGTTCTCAGTGAAAGCAGAGGACTGGGCTTGGAGACGACGGATGTTTATTACCTTGACCATAGTGATGGGGTCATAACGTTTGCATACGTCCAACGTCATCAAATTGTGTTTATTAAATGTGCAATTTTTTCTGTGTATCAGTTACACCTCAAAAAGCTGTTTAGAAAATGGATATGAACTCTATGCATATTGAAAAATACATATATGAGATTTTTTTCAAAAACCAAGGACAGGTTTATACCCTTTTAAGACTATATCCTTAGATCACGATTAAATATTTAGGGGAAGAAGTAATAGGAAAGAAGCGTTTTTAAACTTAGACTCTGTGGCAGTGCTGGCCAGTAGAACTTTCTACAAGGACAAAAGTGGTCCGTACCTGCTATGACCCCATGGCAGCCAGCCGTTGCATCGAACTGTTGAGTGCGTAAAAGCAATGAAGGCATTGTAATGAGAAACTGTATTTTTAATTTTTATTTAACTTTAATGTAAAGAGTCACAATCCCATTATGACTTTTTTCGTTTCCATAAAGCCTTACTCCTGGTCCCAAAGTCAAGTTCACCGAGAAATCACCATTGGTTATCAAGTAACCTTACGCCACTGATGAATCAGATTCACAGATTTGTAACATTTCCCTAATTTCTCATCAAGATTTAAAGCTTTGAGGTGACTGGGGAGATCCAGGACCACTGGGGTCCGCCTTTGGCTAAAAGCTGCGAATAGAATGTCGGGAATCATTTAGGGCCAAGTAATTTGGCACAGAGATATTCTCTGAGCGTTTGAGATTCTGGGAAACAGCTGAGAAAAAAGAGAGCGGGTCTTTTTTTAGGAGATGTCCTAAAGAAATCCTGTTAAAGGACCAAACTTACCTTTCTTTTTGGTTTGTCCCTCTAGGAGCTGATCGATGTTGACAGTGAAGTGGTGTTTGAATTAGCCTCCTATATTTTACAGGTGAGTTGTCCTGTCCTCATCTGGCTGTCCCAGAGCCATACGGGAGTAAGATTGAGCACACCCAGCAGGCTGCCGTATTCACTACCTATTTGTCATCTTAATTATTTATGACACTAATAGGAAGGAGCTACACCATGGCAGTCAATAGAGGCTTCTGGCATTCCAGAATTTTAAGACAGGGTCTCTCTGCAAAGGAAAATTGTGTGTATCACTTGAGCCTGGGGGAAACAAGGATCGTTCAGTAACTCCCTTTTCTTCAGGGTTAGTGCCCTCCCCCACTCTGGAGAAAGCCCAGTAAATAGCAAGATGTAACTTCCAAGAGAATCATCGCACATCCTATGGAAAGACAAGGAAAGGACAGGCCTTTCACTTATTAGTGAAAGTTTTAGTAACGCTGGCAAGATGAATTAGAAGGACGGCATTCATTTATTTCTTCCACAAAGATTTCTTCAACAACTGTTATATTCAAGATTCCTTGAAGGTTCCATGGCCCCTTCTTAGGATGACCGGGAAAGAGCCCACAATACAAAACAAGTAACATAAGACACTAAGCAGTTCTACCCGGACACATGTTCAGATCCGGAATCCTCAATCCAGAAAAAGGTAGACCAGGGTCCAGAGGTAGAAACCTGCATTTTGCTGTTATGAATCACTGTCTTTGTGTATAACTTTCTAAAGTTTAATTTTGTGTCTCATATTCATGTGGCAAATGCATGGTCCTTTCCCCATTGTCTTCCTATAGCAGATAGGACAGCAGCAGTAGTAAGCTGAGCTTAGTCAGTAGAGGAGTGGTCATGACCGTGGAATGTATTTAAAAGTCTGGAACACTGTACTGGAATGTTTCATTGACGTTGAATTTTTTCTTCTACAGGAGGCAAAGGGAGATTTTTCTAGGTGAGTTTACAAAAGGATTTGTTTTCTTACTGTGCTCTGTTAATCTTTATTAAAAGAAACTATTCTTTCTATACTTTGTAGGAGGGCAGTGCTTTAATGTTAGATATTAACAAGGAGTGCCTGGATGGCTCAGTCGGTTGAGTGTCTGACTTCGGCTCAGGTCATGATTTTGCGGTTCGTGAGTTCGAGCCTGGTGTCGGGCTCTGTGCTGACAGCTCGGAGCCTGGAGCCTGTTTCGGATTCTGTGTCTCCCTCTCTCTCTGCCCCTCCCCTGCTCACGCTCTGTCTCTCTCTCAAAAGTAAATAAATGTTAAACAAAATTATTTAAAAAATTAAAAATATATATATATATATATTGATGAGAGCCACCTCTCAACTTGTCAATTGAAACAGACGTATCGGGCAGAGGAAACATAGTAACAGTAAGGAGGATATTCTGTACTAAATGAAAAGCCTAGAGATCACTAAAGCAGAGATCAGCACCCACTGTCACACATGGCCACTAGTGAGGTTTGTCAGCTGGAACCTAGAGCCTGAAGTCACCACTCTGGTGTGAACAGGGCTTTAGATTATCCTACAATGTGGACATTTTTTTTCTCTCTCCGTTTTAGTCTCCTGCTCCTCCAAAGGACAGAATGCTATCCCATAGGGAGATTTCCTTCATGAAAGTATCTCGGTTCCCCACTTCTACTTTTCTTCCCTCTCTAGATATTCCATTGGAGAGAATGTAAACACTTAACCACCGGGGACACTATGCACTGGTTATTAACTTGTGGAACTGCCAGCTTCTCAGTGCCGTTCATTTCCTGAAGCTTTGCCCATTGACCAGCGTGGTTGAATCGCCTCTCATTTTCTCATGATCGTTAGTGGAGCCCTCAGAGTAGGGAGTTGTAGACATCCACCAACGGGACTGTCTGCTCAAAGACAGACATTATTCCAGGCATTCTGCTTTCTTGAACTCCCCGAGAGATGTCTGGGATAGCCCATATTTTAGAATCAAGGTCTAAATGTACAAGAAAACAGTGTCTGGGCATAGCATTCTGACTCATCAATAGGAAATACACAAAATTGGTATTAAAATTAAGAAACACTGGGGCGCCTGGGTGGCTCAGTCAGTTGAGCGTCCGACTTCGGCTCAGGTCATGATCTCACGGTTTGTGAGTTCGAGCTCCATGTCGGGCTCTATGCTGACAGCTCAGAGCCTGGAGCCTGCTTTGGATTCTGTATCTCCCTCTCTCTTTGCCCCTCCCCTGCTTGTACTCTGTCTGTCTCTCTCTCTCTCTCTCTTTCAAAAATAAATAAACATTAAATTTTTTTTTGTTGTTTTTAAATCTTTATCAGAAGATTCTAACATCTGGGGTGCCTGAGTGGCTCAGTTGGTTGAGTATCCATCCACCTTCAGCTCAGGTCATGATCTCACGGTTCGTGAGTTCGAGCCCCATGCTGGGCTCTGTGCTGACAGCTCGGAGCCTGGAGCCTGCTTCAGATTCTGTGTCTCCCTCTCTGTGCCCCTCCCCTGCTCCTTGTCTCTCTCTCTCTCTCTCTCTCTCAAATATAAACATTAAAAATTTTTTTTTAAAGAAACACAAATCCTGACTCTACTCCATGATGGGACTTGTATGTTTTCTCATGCTTTGGCAGATTTGATCTAAACTACTTCAGTTGGTGGCTTACCTGTACTTGTCTAGATTTGTCAAGTTCATGCGGCCTGGCTTGTGAAGCCTTCGCTGTTTTCTCTTTGGTCTCCATGTGCATATCTAAAGCTTTCTAACAAAGCCTGAGGTGTATGTTCTCATTCCGATATCTCAGCAAAAGCAAAAAACCTAGTTTATGATTTAAAACAAGGGTCAGTTTGGGGTGCCTGGGTGGCTCAGTCAGTTAAGCGTCTGACTTCAGCTCAGGTCAAGATCTCGCAGTTCGTGGGTTCAATCCCCGCGTCGGGCTCTGTGCTGGCAGCTCAAAGCCTGGAGCCTGCTTCGGATTCTGTGTCTCCCTCTCTCTCTGCCCCTGCCCTGTTTGTGCTTTGTCTCTCTCTGTTTCTCAAAAATAAGTAAATGTTAAAAAAAAAAAAAGGTGAGGGGGTAAGCCAACATTTTCTGTAAAGGGCCAGATGGTAAATAATCTTGGGTTTTGCAGGCCATAGAGTCTCTGCTGTAATTACTCAGCTCTCCCTTTGTAGGTGCAAAAGAAGCCGTAGACAACAGGTAAATAAAGGAGTGTAGCAGTGTTCCAATACAACTTTATTTATAGACTTGGAAATTTGAATTTTGTATACATTTTCTTGTATCCTGAAATACTGTTCTTTTGAATTGTTTGTTTTCTAACCATTTAAAGAATATAAAAGCCATTCTTAGCTCATGGGCCATACAAAAACCAGCAGAGGGCTGGTGGGTTGCAGTGTGCTTACCCCTGATTCTAAAATTAGTCCCTTCAGCCCAGTTTGAATATTTGCATAAGGAGACCTCCAAGCCCCTTGTGTTTAGGCTTCCCAAGTTCTTGCTATAAAGCAGAGGTAGTCAATTTTTTTTTTTTAACTAAGGCTTTTTTACAGCCTTAGCAGGAGACCTTAAACATTATAGGTGGCCAGTAACCATTCAGTGAATTTGTTGAATGAAACATTTTGAGGATATAGAAACTATGTTTGGTTTTTGTTTTGTTTTGTTGTTTTGTTTTTTTGGGTTTTTTTTTTTTTTTTTTTTTTTTTTTTTTTTTTTTGCAGTTGTTACTTTTTTATGCCCTTCATTTGGTATTGGAATTTGGGGGTTTTGATAAATGCAGCTTTATATCTTACAAAGACTTCTGATCCCTTGAAAAATAGTTTAACAACCCCAGGTGCAATCGATTCTCCAAAGATACTCTTCCCCCTTTTTCTTTGACCAGCCCCGAACTCCGCTGTAGATATTATTTATTTTTGAGAGTACCCTGACAGGATGGAACGTGAACTGTGAAGTCGTCTGACCCCACAGATCCTGGGAACGTTTGGCCTCAGGGATTGCCAGGGAGGAGGAAGTTGTAGGCCTGGCCTCCCAGTAATTCATGGTCCCTTAATGAGCCTGTGGAATGCTAGCTAGCTCATGGGGCTCAGAGAAACAAAGGATCCTGGTTTAGCTTCATTTGTCAAAGTGCTGCCTCTCAGTTTGTTTGTCCCCAGCTGTCTGGGGAGAGAAACAGCCTTCATGGGAGGGAGAAGTCAGACACCTTATCCCAAAGGTCACTCTATGTGCCAGGGTAGACCTCCCGTCGCGGAAGGTGGAGGTGATCTGTTCCGTGCGGTGCCCTGATCAACACCTGTCATCTGCAGCAGGCCCATGGTCTGTGTGCAAGAGTGGCCTGGCGTTTTGGAATAAGAGAAGGTCATTCTAAATTCCTTGTTGGTGCCTTTTCCCATCTATACCCAGGGAAATCCCCAAAGCATTAACGTTGAGCACATTTAGTTTGGTGGCTGAACATTAGGCGTTTTAGATGTCCTAGTCTGAGAAGTTTAGTATTGTAGAGTTACGTTCATCCTATTAATAATAATTCATGCAGGACTGTGCATTAAGTTCTGTGCATTATATTTAACTGAAAGGCTTTGACTTGTATACATACCCGTCAATAGAATATGTTTTCCTGAACAGCATCAATAAAATGAGAGGTCCGCTTCGATCTCACAGAACACTGCGGCATGGTCCAGGGCTTAAGTCTAGGATATTCTAGAATCTAGAGGATTAAAGAACCTTTTTAACTAATGGTCGCCCACAAAAGACAAAGTAACCTTTTCATAGCCAGAGGGTACCGAATCGAACTTCCTGAAAGGCTGTTTTGCTCTAGATGTGACTATTCTGTAGATTTACACGTCAGGGAACATACACAACTACATTTCAGTGGAATGAATATTACACATCTAAAAATTATGGGAGCAGTTTCCTTGAAGTATGAGGACAAGGGAGAAGTCAAACGTGCTAATGTACTTTACCAGAAGGAGAACTGTATACGGACAGCACGGAATCATAATTCTTCTTCCTCCTGCCCCTCCCAGGCTCTTCTGTTTCTGCTTTTGGACTCAGTCTTGCCCAGCAGACCCCTGGAGGCTTATTCTTACCAAGCTCCTCTTTTCTTTCCTGTGAATGGAAATGCTCACTTTATCTTCTTGGACTTTACCATGAGATGTCGGGTTGAGCGTTGCTGAGAAGAAGTGGCTGGGGTACATAGAGATCGATAAGAAGTATTGTCCGGGGCAGGAAGAAATCTATGTCATAGTCTAACATATTGTGGACAGATTTGTGAGCCCTCATTAAAGGTTTGGGAAATAGCCTTATCGAAAAATAATATTTTCTCACTTGTATTATTTTCCTTAGCACAGCACGATAATCGTTCTTCACTTCCTGGTGTCTGCGTGTGTACAAAAATGGATGTCCTTCCACAATCAGGAAATGTAGAGTTGGCATTTCTGCTTAAAAACAGTCGAATAGCCTAAGACCTGCTATCCTTGCCAGCTCTAGAGGCAAATATTAGGTTGAAAAGGATCAACACGGTTTAAAAACAGAAAGTTCTCATTTGATCGTCCCTCCTGGACACTCGTCAGCTAACACACGTTTTCCGTGATTTATCCATACTTTATGCATCAGAAACACTGCAGTGGCTTGAGTGCTGAACACTGACATTTCCTATTTTAAAAATTTAAAGGGAAAAGCCTTGGGTTATTATAGAAAAAAATAAGATTCTCTTCCTGGAAAAGGTCAGTGCAGGAACACCTCGTTTAATCAACTGAACAGGATATCCAAATTGTATGGTTACATTGTAATTTAATTTTTTTTAATGTGTTATTTAGTTTTGAGAGAGAGACAGAGACAGAGTGCGAGTGGGGAAGGGGCAGAGAGAGAGGGAGACGCAGAATCCGAAGCAGGCTCTGGGCTCGGAGCTGTCGGCACAGAGCCCGACGCGGGGCTCGAACTCACAAGCTGTTGCGATCATGACCTGAGTCAAAGTTGGACGCTTCGCCGACTGAGCCTCCCAGGCGC